CTGGGCTGCATCAAAAGCAGATCAAGGAGGTGACTCTGCCCTGCTACTTTGGTGAGACCCCACCTGGAGTGCTGGTGCCTTGACTAGGTGACCTCTTGGGTCCTCTCTTGTGTTCTGGTCACTCACCTATTGATGCCTGTGAACTTGGGTATCCTCTCTTTTTGGCTTGGGTTGTCCAAGTCTAGTGTTAGACAGCATGAAGGCTGTGTTAGGGGGGTGGCTGAATGCAAGATGTCACCCAGCAGAAAGAGCAGTGGCCCTGAGAGGGGAAAAAGCAGGCCAGAAATGCTACAACTGGGCAGACTGGACTGGGCAGACTCAGAGCTCTGTGAGGACTTCAGAGAAAACCAAGACGAGAAGATTTGTTTGAAAGAATCTAAAGAGATGTGCTGGTTACTTTGACAGCTGGAAGGTTGTAGGTTATTTAAGGCCTGATATGGATGGAGACCTGGCTGATTTATTGTGTCCATTACTCTTGTGTGGTTGCAGCAATGTATCATAACTGCAGTTGTGTACATTTGACTGACTGCCTCTCAGTTGCAGGAGAAGAGTAAATTATAGAAAATGCATTATAGTCATGGTTAGGAAGTTGTATCAGTTCTATGATGGATAATTAATTTTTGTGCTTTTCAGTCTCTCCAGTTCTGGTGGCTTACATCTGCTGAGCAGCCAGATGATGGTAACGGATTCTCAGTTTCCTAATTTGCAAGACAGGTGTTTTTGTGGGTTTTTTTTGTTTGATTGTTTTTTTTCCCCTTTAAATTCTTCTCAGGAGTCAGATATTGGATCAGGTCGAGATCAGAATAGTAGTCACCTCTCGCTTTTTGTATCAATTCTGGCCATTTTGGAAAGGTAAATAAAAATATTTGATACTTGCTTCTCTTAAAATAATATTAAAAATTAATTGAAAGGAGACAGAGCGTTCTTTAACACCTCTGACACACTGGAAAATATGGGAATGGAAAATGTGGCCATCTAACACCTAGCTACAGTCATTATATTTGCATAAGGAGGAATTGCTTGCTTCAAGAGTGAACTGCAGCAGTATACAGTCAGTGCTTCTTATTGCTAAATGGCAATACTATTTAAAAACCTGACAAACCAAACAAAAAAACCCCCAAAGCCCAACCTCTCCCCCCCAAAACAACAAAACAAACCCGACCAAAAACCAAAAATGAAAATACCCTTACATTTGGCTCTGGAACCAAATATTCTGCCACAGAAGCTGTCTGCGGGCAGTGTTGACTTAGCCAGGCTTTTCGAGGTTTTGTAAAGTTGTAGAGCAGCTCCATAAAAGGAGATATCAGTAAAGCTGTGACCTGCTATAGCTCTGAGAGCACAAGTTCCATGGGTCACATGCTGGTGACCTCAGGAGTTCCTACATGGGGGTAAGCACAGGAGAAAGAAATAATATGAACAGCAACGAAAGAGAGAAAGAGACAGCATGGGGGAGACAAATCTTGATATCTCTTGACAGCTGGGCTAACTTCTGCATGTTTTCATTGAGATTTTTTTTTCGAAATGTAATGTTCTTTGTGTATTGTTTAACACCCCCAACACACACACACTTTTGTGAGGGTAAACAGCACAATATCTTCATCAGCAAAGAGGAAGAAATATTTTTATCTGATAGTGAGGGTATGGGCTTCTTAAGGTGTAAAGCTGCTGTAATCAGCAGAGGAGTAATCCTAAGTGTACAGAGGATCAGCTGTGTGACTCTACACTTATTTAACACTTAGATTTTTCTTGTCTTCCTGTATTCTTAGATTATTTCTTTTAAGGAATTGTGTAATGATATGTTTGTTCCATATCTGAAAACAAAGGTCTAGTGTTATGATTTCTTAATATTGCTGTTTTATATGTTTAAAAAAAAACAGAAATAGCTTATTCTGTTTGGATTGCATGGAACCAAGACTTAATGCCTGGACTGGCCATTCTCATCGTGAGCAAGGAGCAGGGCTTCTAAAACTGTAAATCAATTTTTTGAAGTATAGGCAAATATGTATGGCATTTTGCATTTTGACCAGCTTTATATCGTAGTTTCTATATAGTCACTTCCCTTTTGTTATTTTCAGCAAGCAGGTACATTAAAAAAACCCCACAACAAAACCCCAACCTTTAGTGCGACTTTGGAGCACATATTTTACCTATTTGTTATCCTTATTGGGATATAGTATTTTTATACCTTTATTACTGTTCTAACCATATTTGCTTCTATAGGCCTCCCTCTAGAGGTGTATATCTATCTTTGGAAAAGAGGTGGAGACAGCATACACGAATCTTCTGGTGAAATACTACTGTTTCTACAGTGCATCTAACCTTTTTCTACTGTTAGCAATCTTCCACCTTCCAAAGAACACCACTTTAAAAATGTCCTTCTGCCTCCTAGAATTTGGCATTGGCAAATGATTAGCCATTGTACTAATTGTACTAATTCTGCCTCTGTAGCAGAGGTCACTTGTTGGAAAGAGTGGTTTGGGTGGATTACTCAGGGCTGGTTCATGCCTGCACCTCTGCTTCCCAACTGGTTCAGGGCTTGAGCTCTCCCTTAATTCTGCATTTCATGTCTGCTGCTTGCCTGGGTCTAGAGCAAGGCATTTGGGTGGTAGAATAAATGCAACATAGTGATGGTATGCTAGGTGTCCTATTACAAAGGGAAATCATTTAAGTAGGGAGGAGAGAGGAATTGCAGTGGTCTCTCTAGCACTTTTCTTGAGTCATCCTTTCCTGCTTCGGTGCCTCAGTTTTTAGTGAGTAATGCTGAGCTAAAACAGAGCTTCACTCTTGGCAATTTGAAGGCTGGTGGCCATTAATAACTGTTGCTTCTGATGTAATCTGAAGCATGTCTGGAGCAGTAGATTTGTATTTAATTTCACATATGTAAGCTTTTTTTGAAAATCTATAAAATATGCAAAAAAAGAATAGTCTTCTCTGATGTTAGGCTTAATTTGCTGCATTGAGTTGTGAGTCAACTTTGAGGTGGCTTAATTCAACATCTTGTGGTGAAGCAGACTGAACCATCTTAAATCATAAAAATGTAGAAAGGGATGATTTAGGAAATACAATTACAAGAATGATGTGCTTTAAATCATTGGGTTTCCTTTATTTTATCCCCCCAAATGTTAGATGATTATCTAGTTGGATTCTTGTCCTTCATCCTCCTGGCAGTTGTATCCTCTGTTTGAGTGAGCACTTACTGAATGTCTCCCATTCAGTCTTGGCTAATCTGGCAGCCCTGAAACTGCCAAACCTGCTGCACAGTGACCCTTGTCACTGAGGGAGAAGCAGTACTGCCTGCTGTACCAAGTGTTGTAGACTTCAGCAACTCAGTTTTTGGCTTTTGCAGGGATGTGTGTTTTACTTTAGGGAGCCAGTGTTCAAGTAAGGGGATACCATAGAATCATATAATATCCTGAGTTGGAAGAGACCCACATAAAATAAACAGAAGACTTAAAATGTAAAAATCCAGTGTTGCATACTTGATGAAAACTATTTTTCAGCATTACATGATATATCTATGTAGTACAGCTCGTGGTAATGTTTATGATTTGACTTTTTTTTTTTTTTATGGTTAATTAAACCCTCACCATAAAAAGAAAACCCAATCCCTCTGTGTGTGTTGGTTTTCTTGGCATTAAGTAACAGCTACAGCTTTATCTGAACTTAGCTCCTGTCATTCTTCCTGATGCTGACCATGACAGGCATGAATTATTCATGCATGCTTTCTCTGCAGCAACCTACATAAGAGACAGAGTGCTATATGCATTTTAAGTGCTGATCAAGCTTCCATGGGTAGTAACTATCATGTTTCTAGGATGATGGAATTATGACAGCTACATTTGTAGTTGCTCTTTGTCTCTGTTTACAAGACTGTGTTTTCAGTTGCTTATGATTGTACCAGACTTCTGCTATTGGGCTGAAATTTCCAACCTTGGGAGAGAAGAGGGCAGCTGAGTACGGATTGGCATGTCTCAAATAATTCAGTAATTACTGATTATGTCCACATTGTGTCAACAGTGTCAATCTTTCATAAGCCATACTCTGGACTGGATGTTTTTTGGATGTGCTTTGCAAATCAAAACTTTTGATATGTGTTAATTCAGGACCAGTCATGAGCTGCTAGTGATTTTGTTTTGTTCAGATTCCAGAAGAAACTTCCTCTCCTATTAGAGATTTGGCTCTCCCAGAAGTGAGAGGTGGCACTATACAGTCTCCTTAGAGACTTCAGTGTAGGCTAAAGCCCAGTACACTTCCCCTCCCATTATGAGCTGTTCTTCCAAGGGGCTGCCTCTCCAGAGCATTGAATTACAGTGTATTTCTATGCTGTAGGCAGCACCTACCGAACACCCTTGCCTTCTTTAAAAGGTTCATAAATATCAGTTTAGGTGACCTAAATCTTCTCAGATATCTTTGCTTTCACCCTTGCTTCTCTGGGCTTCTGCTAGCCTTGGTCGAAGAAGTTCCTTCAATACAGACCCCAGCTTGGCCCAGACATGTCTGTCTTCTGCTTCCTGCCTCATCAGGGACTTGTATTGCCTGTTTAGCATCCCAGTTTCTCTGGAAACTTGGTGAAACATAGCAGTAGCCACCAAATGGTGGTAGCACTTCAGCAACAGAGTGAGTGACCAGATGAGATGATGCATTGGCACCTATTTCCTTCACCAGTTTTAATCATAATTTAAAATCAGCCAAAGGGAAGCTCTTCCTTCTTCTGTACTCAAGTTATTTTTTGTAAAGAAGAGTAGATTAAGCCTATGATTACAACTGATTGGAAACTTTCTGTATGAAGAAGTGGTATTTTTCACTAAGCAATTTTACTGTACTCTGCACTTTCACAAGCGTAGATATTTATATCCTCTATAGAGATATTTTTCAAATGACTTCTGCAGCTAAAACAATATCAATTTTTAAATGGAAAAGAAAGCAAGAAGTCTCTGCTGAAAAGGAAATTAAATAAATTGGTTATTTTTTACTAATATTTTTTTGGTTTTCTCTTCTAGAAAAAGTACAGAAAAGGATCTGTGGATATTTCAAGGATTAAATGTGTAGAAGTTGTAAAAAGTGATGGTATTATTCCCTGTCAAAATAAATATCCATTTCAGGTATGTTTCTTTTATATAAAATATATAAATTACAGTGCTCTTTTCAACAGTGCCAAGTCATTTGGATGTAACTTCCCTTAAAATTGCTGTCACTCCTAAATACTGAGCCTATTTTCTGTCTCTTTTGGACTGGTGGGAGGTAGTTCAGGATCAGTGGTTAAAACCCATCCCCAGCAAGCTCTGCTCCCCCTGCAGTCCCCTCCCTTGGGAGTTGTACCTCATACACTTGGTCTTTTTCTTTTCCCCATCCTTTCTGCTTGAGTTTTGACTGGAAAGTCCTGGTCATCCTCCAAAACAAGTAAGCTGGCAACCCATTTTCTGTCTTCAGTCTTCCACATTAAATTAACTTTACCATTAAATTATTTAGAAATAAGAAAATCAAGATAAAACTTGTTGCTTTATTTTCATTGTGAATTGAATGGAAATAAACACAGAAAACAAATTGCTTAGAGGGGAAAAAGAAAACTAAGGTGGGTTGGATGCTGTGCCTCTTTACTGTAGAGGGAATAGTTGGAGTGAGGATGAATTCCACTGCTGGAGAGGGGACTCTGATCCCTTTCTTCCAGAGCAATACAAGCAGTGAAATAAAAAAAAGGAAGAGTCACCCCAGGCAGTACAGAATTGCAGGGAGTTGTGAAATGGCTGGAACAAAGGATGTCTGATTATTAAATAGCTGTAATGATTGAATTGAGCTGTTTTTAGAAAACACCTGGTGAAGAATGAACAAAGCAAAGCGTGAAGCATTTTATGGAATGCTGTCAAGATAGATACCATTACAAAATCCTTCCTTATTCTCCTGGAAGCATCATATATGAATAATAAACCTTAATAACCTTTCCCAGTTTCTGCGTTTTCTGCCTCAATACACTAATCTTGCTAAATACAACAGTCATTAGTCTTATTCTGTTTCCTCTGTTTCCTGAGGCAAAAATAAGTTAATACTACAAGGTAAATGTATTTTGATTATTTCTTTCCTCCCTTCAGGTTGTATATGACGCTAATACACTTTATATTTTTGCACCGAGTGCACAAAGCCGGGATCAGTGGGTGAAGAACCTGAAAGAAGGTAATGGGAATTGCTTATATGTAACATCTGACATAGGCAGATGCCTTTGCTTTAGCTGTCTGGATGTGTTGGAGTTAACTTGGTGCCGTGTTTTGAATTTGTGGCCAAAACACTGTTGAAAACATACCATGTTGTAGTTGCTGCTGAGCAGTGCTTGCACAGCCTTTTTCCCTCTCTGTCCCCACAGTGAGTAGGCTGGGGGTGGGCAAGAGGCTGGGAGGTGACACAGTCAGGACAGCAGAACTGGGCTGACGGAAGGGATATTCCAGACCATATAAAATTGTCCTCAGCAACAAAAGCTGGGGTAGAGGAAGACAGGGATTGGGTGTTTTTGCTTCCATATTGGCCATTGCTCAGAGACTGGCTGGGCATTGGTCTGCTTGTGGGAGATGGTGAGTGATTGCCTTTGGGGTTTTTTCTTTCTTCCAGTTATTAAACTGTCTTTATCTCAAACCACAAGTTTTTATCTCTTGCTCTTTTTATTCTTTCCCCACCCTGCTGGGTTGGGGGAGTGGGCAAGTGACTGCATGGATGCTTAGCTGCTGGCCAGCATCAACCCCCAGCAAATTATAAAAATAAAATGTTAGAGCTTCTGTTGCTTATATCCACCAATTATAATTTCTTACTAGGCCAGCTCATCGCTTGCATACACAGAGTGTGATAACAGGCACTGGGAGTATCAAACATCCAGACTGATTTGATTTTGTGAAGTCCAGCTGCAATCAGAATTTGACTCTCTGGTTTTGCACAATGAGTAAATCATCAAAAAGTTTGTCCAAGCTAGTAAATGGCATCACTCAAAAGTTTTGTTTGGATGCAGCTAGACAAGATTGTGGGCCATGTAAAATTATGTGATCTGATAAGTTCTATCACAGTGAGTAAAGCTTTATTTTCATGAGCCTCTTAATGCTCTCTTTCACCATCAGATGCTCACATTAATTACAGATGGTCTGTAAAATAATAAGAAATGATTTCTGGGCTGGGGATCACAGGTCAAGGAGTGACTTCTGAAACTCAGCAAGCCATTAGCATGGGGGTAAGGAGCCTTTCAAACCAAACTCAGGAATTGTGCCATGGACTAGAGATAAATGTCAGCTATCTTTCCCTCCAGAACACTGTTTGTAGAGGAATTTGAGACTCTTGCAGCAGTAATAAAGGACCAGGCAGAGCTCCCAGAGCCTTCACTGCTGCCTGAATGATTCGTACGGTGCAGATGGGCACCTGGGTCTCCTTTCATGGGTGCACCAAAACCCTGCTGGGATGGCTGTTGTAGGTGGGGAGGACAGCACTCCATTCTGGAGTAAAGTTATGTTATTACCCTAAAAATATCCTCTATGATTGTTGTATCACCTCCATATAAACTTGCAAGAAAGCGCTTAAGAGAAGCAATGCTAAAGTAAGGGCAAAGATATTGTAATACGTATTAAAAATTACCCTCTTGTAAACTTTTTTTTTGGTGTCTTTCATTGTATGTTCTTTTTCTTCTTGTAGAAATAAAGAACAACAGCAATATAATGGTAAAATATCATCCTAAATTCTGGACAGAGGGAATTTATCAGTGCTGCAGACAGACAGAAAAATTAGCTCCTGGCTGTGAAAAATACAATCTTTTTGAAAACAGTAAGTACATGTGTCTTCATATGAAGTTGCTCTGGCATATTTTTCTGCTTTTTTATATGATACTGTCATCACCCCTGAATGACCTGGATATTAGTCAAATTTATAGAGCAGATTCAGTCATTGATACTGTGCATAAAGTAAGTCAAAATGTTTGTTTCCTTTCCAAGTATTTTGTAAAAAATAGAAAGACCAGCAAAATGTCCTTGCCAAAAAAAAAATGTTTACAGAAAGTTGAAAGGAATCATTGAGGTTGCATTTCACTTGATTTGTTTCTCCCATTTCAAACTTATTTGACCAAGTGTTTATCTCAGACTGAGGATAAAACCTGATGGTAGAAAAGATTCAGCCAGAAATCTTGTCAGCTCTTCAGTTATTTATTAAAACCTCTATTAACCCATGTGAAAGAATAATACCTGTATTACATTCAGCGTTACTACACCAGGCTAAAAACAGTAAAAGAAGGTTTAATATTTTTACAGACACAGGACTGAATTTTCTCAGAGGTTTGTAAATGTCCCAGTATTAACTGGGATGAGCTGTGACTTCTGTAGGCATGTGCATCTTCCAGCATCCAAATTGCAGATTCTGCTTATTCAACAGTGGATGCTCATGCATGCACTGCTGTAGCACTGCAATATTGTCCTACAAAGGATATAGTTATTATTTTGTCCTTGGTTTAAGGAAAATTCCATAGTAGGAAAAGAAATGGAGCCATTGCTTATCTCCCATTTAAATCAGTGGCACTCAATGATTTCTTATGTCAGTGCCTTAAATGGTAGTGGGTGGGGACCTGTGGATTTAGTTGCAGTAAAAGACTAAAGAATAAACACTGGCTCATGGCTGTTCTTATTCAGTAAAATGTAAAGCATGACATACAGCTCAACCTTGTATTTGCTGAAAAAAGGCAGTGCAGGAGAAAAATACTTCTGGATCAGAGAGATGTAATAAAAATATACATACAATTGTTATGCCTTGTTTAGCAAAGCAGGGGTCAGGGGCATAGAAGAGCAGTTCAGGGCTCTCTGTGGCATGCTGTGGTGTGGCACAGACTTTGCTGAATCTGTGGTGAATGCAACCTGCTGGCTCATTTAGGATGTTTTTACAAGAATATTTAATCATTTTTCCTCTTGCTTAACTGGTGTTGTCTTTGCTTTTCTAAGCCATCCTGGAGGCTTGTTGAGGTATTAAAACCTTATCTGAAATTTAAACCTTTTACTTAATTTTTAAATTTATAGCTAAATGGATAGACATAAATCCTCTTCTGTGCTTTGTTTCTAGATGTAATGAGATTGTCCTCTCCAATGCCAGAAAAAAGTGTGGTAGGTAGAGTCTTTAAAACATTGAATAGATAATTGCTGCTTTTTGAAACAGTGCTTAAATTTCTTGAGATTCTTTCCATATCCTGGAGCAAAGGTCTCTTCCTGTACACATCAGTGGACATCATGCTCTGTCACAGGGTAAAAAAAATCCCATTGAAATTTAGCTGTATCTATTAGCTGTGTCTGTACTTCTGGTGGAAGATGTGGCCAAAAAACATGCCAGCCAGCTTTGCCCTTTACTGGCATCTGCAGAGCTGCAGCACAAACCAGCCCCATGGGTACCACCCACCTATGTGATTTACTGCCACGCATCCAGCTGCCTCCTCGGGCCCCACCACAGCTTCCCCCTGGGACAACTCAGGAATATCCCAGCTTTTGCCTCCAGGATGCACTGGTGTGATGGTAAAGGTGGGTGGGGTGGAAAAATGGAGCAGATTGGGATGATAATAGTGTTGTGTTGTTTTCAGCGAAGGCCTCCACCACCTGTTCCTCCAGTTGAAGAAAATGGCAATGAAGAGGAGGAGATAGTGGTAGCAATGTATGACTTTGAGCCTACAGAACATCATGATTTAAGATTAGAGAAAGGTGAAGAATATACAGTGATTGAGAAGAACGACATTCATTGGTGGAGGGCGAGAGACAAATATGGGTAAAGATGAGTTCCTTATTTTTTTTTATGAAGTTCATAAGGCTATTTCCATGTTGTAGTAGTTCATATTGACTATATGTCATCAAATAACTGCACTTTGGACCCCAGCCCTGAAATCTCATTCATATATTCCCACACAGAAACCAATTTTAAAAAGTGCGGTACTCGATAGGTTTTGGGGCCTGTGTGCAAAGACGGTTGCAGAACTGGATGCTTTTCCAGTTATGTTTTCTATCTGACTTTATGGTTTCCCAATTAAGGCACCAGCCATCCTGTAAAACCTTGCTAGACTGGTACAGTACTCCCACTTCCCTGAGGACCATCTCATTAGGGAGCAATACGGTTAACACTCTGCTCAGCAGGCTCCGACTTCCAGACTTGAATAATCATCATAGTTTTATTTAATAGCTGTATCTTTAGAGACAATCTTTGAATGAGTTGAGAGTTACAATTGTAATGACTACAACTTTACATTCCCTGAATTAAAATTTTTCCCTGTGGTTTTAAAGATGAAAGTTTTCATGCTTCAATATGTATCAGGTTCCTGTTGCCTTATGGTACAGGTAATTATGAGTTATCAGCCTGTGGCAGGCTCCAAAATGTATTTCCCGTGACTGACTGGGACTTCTGAGTGCAGAAGTGACAGAGCAGCAGAGGGTTACTCTCCTTCACCCTTTCTGCTGGTTTTGTTGGACACTTCTGCTTCCCATGTCACTTCTCCCAGGGTGCTGAAAGTGAATGTGGAAATGTTGCTGTGGAAAATTAGGTCCTGCATAATCAGTAGTAGAGTGGGTGGGTCAGTAGTATATAAATTGTATTGAGAGACCTCTGGTAATTAGCAGAATGAAACACTGTCTTCTAGGCATGCAATTTTACATTTTTTCACTCAGATTATGTGTCATATATCTTTTTAGAAAACAAGGATATATTCCAAGCAACTATGTAACAGAAAAGAAGTCCAACAACCTTGATCAATATGAGTAAGTGAATATTTGCATTAAAATTTGGAATGTCATAAAATCAAACCCATACTTCAAGAATGACAATGTATTTTTAACATTTTGGAAGCAATTGTTTACATATGATAGAACTTAGAGGTTAAACAATTGAAATAGGCATATATTTTTTTGAGATTCTCCTCATTGATTATGTTGTGATTTTTAATGTAAGATCAAGTCAATGAGATGGCCATCAGGCACGTAGTACTTAGGCTATCACTGTTAAAGCAAAGAAAGCCCTCCTAATTCTCTGGTAGACAAAGGAAAACTTTAAAGGAAATTCACCCATCATAAGTGTGCTGAATGTTGTTTTAATATTAAAGTGACATCTCTATCCAAAGTCTGTGGCAGTAAGATAGTCGAGCAGAAAACAGTGGAAATCATTCAAAGTAAACTTAACAGATTTTGGAAGGCAGCTCAAATTTTCAAGAAAATACGTAATTCAGTGCATTTTAAGTCTCAGCGTATTTACTTAACAGCTATAGATGTCTAGCTTTTTAAAAAAAATACTTTTCCCCATTAATATTTAATCATGGAACACTTACTTAAGAACATCTGGATAAAATTTAACACCAAAGTATCCGAACCTGTTATTCTTGATATTCAAATATCAGTACAGCATAAACTGTTGTGCCTGAGAACTTACAACATATTTAATAACTTGTAGATAAAATGGAGCTCTAAGAAAATAATAATTAAAACCAGTTTAGAAAACTACATTAGTATCTCCAGAACTCTGCTCTCAGCTACTTCTGGCTCCTACTCCTGTGTTTTGACAGAAGGTGAAATTTTGTCTGGGATTTTGCCCTCAGCTTCACTAGAGGGAATTCTTTGTTGCTTTCTCATCTTAGAGGCTCTTGATAAGACCTCTGCTCTGCTCTAGGCTGGGCTTCAGGGCTAGCAGAAAGGGAAGGAAGGAACTGAGCTGCCTTATCTGGTCCAGCCACTTTGTGCTTTTACCAACTTGGGGCCGTAATTCTGAGTCACTGCGCAATCCAGGGAGCATTACTCCAGGTCATCTACCAACTGCAAGAAACCACTGTCTCCGGAACAGGCAGAATCTGATTAAAGGCTGCTGTGCCACTTCCCTGCTTGGTTACCACCATGACAGCATAGCTCAAAACAGTTGCACCACACCATTTGCGAGCTGCCTGTTTTTCCTTTTTTTAATATTCTCTGTGACTGACTGACATGTTGGTGCTTCTGTGGCTGCTTTCACCTGCCCATTCAGCACAGAGCTCAGGGATGTGTAACTGTGACACCTAATTTCAGCCTCCTCTTTGCTAGGTGGGTTCTCCCTGGAAGCCCACAACCACAGAGTTATTGAATGACATAGCAGTCTAGCAGCCAACTCCACAGGTGGCTTGACCAGTGTGCAGGCAGCTGCTTCCTCAGGGCTGCCAGCTTGCCCTCAGATTGCTGTTCGCAGCAACTGCCATCAGCCTGTGAATGTTTAAAAAATGTTTTTTCTGAAAATGTGTATCAGTTACCTGAGTTTTGTTGGCTTCTGTGGGATCTCTCTGGATTTGTTTCAGGGCATTCTTATGGGATAACTGCACAGTGTAATAGACACTGATTTTTACACATTGTCAAAGGTTGAATTCTTGATCTTCATTAATCATAAAATTATTGAATCTGTAGCTTCATAATACTTTGCTAGAAGCTTTTTACGTAAATCATGCACCTTGGAGAAGTTTTATTTACTGATGTTGCGTTGCAGGTGGTACAGCCGAAACCTGAACAGAAGCAAGGCAGAACAGCTCCTCAGAAATGAGGTGAGCACAGCAGCCTTGCAGTATCAGCTGTGTGTTTTGCTTCAAGTAGCTTCTTTTGTTAAAGCGGAGGCTTATTTTGGCAAGTGCATATCCTAGAACAAGTAAAAGAGTCATGTAGCTTAAAAGCAGTTTTACAAAACCGTCAATGTGCATGTGTTTCAGGATAAAGAAGGTGGTTTTGTGGTGAGAGACTCCAGTCAGCCTGGCCTGTATACAGTTTCCCTTTATACAAAATTTGGAGGGTGAGTTTCTGTTCTGCTCTGCATACCTTGTCTTGCCCGAATCTATTTGTATCTGTATCTAAATCCATTGGATGGGGGAAAGCCCAGGAAAGAACTCAATAAAGAAACAAGGGCTGATGTGATAGAAAAGATGGGTGATTAAAATGAAATTCTCAGCTCCATGGTTAGGCCACATTTGGTTTAAACCAGAGGAGACCTAAACCCCTACCCAGAGAAGGAAGTTTTTCTCTCTCAGCCCATTTGGTCTTTTCCCTCCTTCCAGCCTGTGTTTATGTCAGGTGTGTGAGCTGGACTGGGGAGCTTGCTGGGCTGAAAATTAACCTATTCTGGGTTAATCTTCAACTTGGTTTGAGCACTGAGATAAAGGCAAGTCACCAGTGCTTGGGATGTTTGACATTCAAGCTGTTCTCAAAGTGTGTGACACTGGGCATCTCTGTGGGCCCTTTCAGCTTCGTTTTCCTAGTCAATGCGCTCCTCTTAAAAAGGTCACAACAAATGGCAATGTATTATTATTAATTTATATTATTGTTATTATTTTTCCAGGGAAGGCTCATCAGGAGTAAGACACTATCATATAAAAGAAACAGTAACATCACCAAAGCAGTACTACCTGGCAGAAAAACATCTCTTTAACTCCATTCCAGACATAATTGAGTATCATCAACATAATGCAGCAGGTAGATGGACTGGATTTTTCTGTCACTTAGGGTTGATTTGAAAAGGAGAGTGAGGCATTTTAGGGTTTTAATGAAAATTTTTAGTTTTTTATAGATCCTTCTTTTCAAGGGAAGTCATGGAACACTGCATTTTCACATTATTTCAATGCAGACAATCATTTGAAAGGTTTTATGTAAAGGTGTGTGTGTGTGTATATATATATATATATAAAATGTATAGATATGTTACTGTCCCCAAAGTAACAGAAGAAATACTGTATCAAGTCAGGAATTATTCACTTGGCCCCATATAGTGCCTTTATCATCTCCCTGTAACCCACAGCAGATGGACAGGGATGGTACTTCCCCAAAATACTCTCCAGGCACTAGATTTTTACCTGCTGGCTGCTGCCACTTAGAATTGATCTAACCTTCCTATATAGCAAATAGATGGGGAGAACAGTAACGTGTTGTTCAAGAAATCCCTATTTCACTTCAAATCTATAGCTGATGGCTGGTGCTGGTGTTTGCCCACTGTATAATAGAAGAGTTTAGGAATTGAGTTCAAGGCACATATACTGATACAGTATTTTTTTTTTTCAAGTCCAGTCTGTGCATAAATTTTCCTTATGACCTATGGTTTCCAGATCTTTACATCAAACTCTGATGACCCAGCATTTCCTGATGATATTCTGGAAAATGCGTTTCTGAAAAATACACCACAAAAACACAAGCCCACTTTTCATTTATTATAAATGATTTTTCTACATATTTTAATTGCTTCATTCCTTTTGTCGTATCGAGTTTTGAAAATATATTTATGAGAATATATTCAGCTAATTCAACATGCGACATATAAAATCCCTATGTGAAACATGTGGGATTTATATGTCTGAAAGAGAAATGATCAAGTAACATTGTGCATTTTAGATAATCTTTCTGATTTGCTTTATGAAAGGTGTTCTCAGCCTCTTTTGGTGCCAGCATAACTGTAAAGCACAAATATGTATGCATATATCCATATCCATCTCTCACCAGTAAAGAAGATGCAACAAGTTAGATGTAGTGAGGGCTTGTGTAATTCTCACAGCCATTTAGAATCAAGACAGTGCAATAACAGAAAATATGGTCAAAGCTGTATATAACAATAAGCTGACTGTTAATCAGGGTTGGAGTCTGCAGTGAACAAGTGGCCGAGTTGCTGCCTGGCACTATTTCAGAAGTAAACTGTGTCTTATCATTGAACCTCAGGTCTTGTTACCAGGCTGCGTTACCCAGTGACCCCAAAGAAGACGACAGCACCAACAACGGCAGGATTCAGCTATGGTGATTGCGTGTTGTATTCATCTACACATATTTTTTCTAATGATTTTATGTTAAGATTTTCTATGATTTTATGTTAAGATGCTAAAATATCTTCTAAACATTTTGAAAAGGTCCAATTCTGTACTGTGATTGGCTATACTAACTTACACTGGTCCAGGTGTATCTTTGAGCCCTTGCATGGAGTATCAGTATGCAAAGGCACCACAGCTGGTTGTAGGTGTGTGGTGCCAAGGGGAGCAGTGCGGAGAGGCAGAGCGTGTCACTGGTACTCCAGGGGAATTCAGTATTTTCCTCCATGCTTTTGTGGATACCCTGAGCTCTGTCTGATTAAAGAGCTGTGCCTTTACTTCCTTCATTAGCCTCCAGGCTTCTGACTCCGTCTTGGACCTTTGATCTTTGTGGAGGGATTAATTTTTTAAAATGTAAGTTTGCAATAAGCTTTTTTTAAATGTGCCACATCAGATGTGAGCAGCTTCTACACTTTGGCACAATTTTCTATGGTGGCAGTTTGTTGAAATCGACTGAAAATATCAGAATGTAATTGCTGGCCTCAGGAAAGTTTGAATTTTGACTTCTGTGTTGGTCAGAAGTTGCTTAAATGTCATGTCTACCTAAAAGTTTGTTTGTTTTGTGAGATATAGGAGTGTTTGGTTTTCAAGTTAATTCTAACATGTTCTCCCTAAAATCCTTAATTTGCTGTTAATCCAGTTTCCCTTTCCTCTTCCTTATCACCTACCAGTTCCTTAGCTGTTCCTTGGTTTTTTTAATAGAAAAATGGGAAATTAATCCCTCGGAACTGACTTTCATGAGAGAACTGGGGAGTGGTCTGTTCGGAGTAGTGCGCCTTGGGAAATGGAGAGCACAGTATAAAGTGGCCATCAAGGCAATACGGGAAGGGGCAATGTACGAAGAGGATTTCATTGAAGAAGCTAAAGTAATGATGTGAGTTGTGTGCTTGGCACTTTTATTTCCAGTTCTAGGTCTCTGATGTCAGATACTGATTATAAATAAAACAGTTGGGGTAGGTGGTACTTTTGCAGTTTTGTGGGGTGGAGAGCTAGCACTGTGTGGAGGAAGTAATAATGACATGATCTCAATCTTTTCAGGAAGTTAACACATCCTAAATTAGTTCAGCTGTATGGTGTGTGCACACAACAGAGACCCATTTACATCGTGACTGAGTTCATGGAGCATGGCTGCCTTCTCAATTACCTGAGACAAAAACGGGGAGTTTTGAGTAAAGACATCCTGCTCACTATGTGCCAAGATGTATGTGAGGGAATGGAGTACTTGGAGAGAAACAGCTTTATCCACAGAGACCTGGTAACATCCCATTAAGCAATATACTCCTCTTTGAAATTTTTATTTTTGAACTTTACTATTCCTTTTTGAAACAGCCTGTTTGTAAACAACTACTTTTGTTCTTGCAGAAAGTTCTAAGTGACTGAAGTTGGCTCTCTAGGGTCTAAGCAAGTCTCTAAAACTGCTCTGTGCAGAAAATGATGAGACATTTTTCTCTCCCAAGAAAATGGAATAAAATCTGTCTGAAATTTTTATAAAGACTTAGTAGCTATTTGTGCTAATGTAATAGCCTCTGTTCTGTATTGGTGCCATTTTCACCACTCATGAATCCCTTGAGGTAATAATTTTTTTTCTGGTGATTTTTTACAAAATGGTCTAGTTGTCAAAATAGTACTATCAAGTGGAGATGCACATGTAGTTTTTATAATGAAAATACACCACTGAACTCGGTAAATGTGTGAACTTGCAGTGAGGACAAATATTGTTGTAATTTGTCTGCAAAAGACTGTAAGTTTTCATCCAACTCTAACCATTCCCTTTGCAGGCTGCCAGGAACTGCTTAGTGAGTGACTCAGGAGTGGTCAAAGTGTCAGATTTTGGAATGACAAGGTATGTCTGAGTGTACCAACATATTTATGGGAATTTGGAAAAATTCACCTAACCCTTCTATTTAGCCCAATGGCAACATAGGCTGAGCAAAATTACTTGCAAAAATGATTTTTTTGACCTCTCTAGGGAACAGCCTTTGGTGTTTTTTTTTCTTTTTCCCAGTGTCTTTAAAGCTTATTTTTTAGGTGATCATGTGCTGATTTCCCTACTCATTTTAAAAAAGGCATATTAGAGCTTTTATTAGACAGCAGAAATAATGGTTAATCTGCATTTTGGTAAATAAATGTTAGTAAGAGGCTATTCAGTGAGTTTCAGATCCTCTTGGGGAGTAGATGGTTCAGAGTTGCATTGTGCTAGCTGAAGGGCTGGGAGGTGCTGAGATCTGGAGGGGAGGCTAATTTCCTGCCCTTGTTGGCACTGGCGTGGGTGATGTGTGGGTGAGGCAGTGGTGGGGAGCAGCTCTTCCAAGAAAGGTGTTAAAGCACCGTGGTTTGACCATGCTCTTGGCTTTTGCCACCTCTCTGTGCTGCTGAGCTTGCAAGTCCCCTGACATCTGAACTCACACTGGCTGGCAAAAAAAAGAACAAGAAATTTCTGCTTTTGCCTCATTTTCTCTCATAATACAGATGTTTAAATTGCAGGCAGCTTAGACCTGTGTAGCTAATAAATCACAAGAAAGGATTCTGAGGTAATATGAAAAATGAACTGTGTCTTGACTTAAGCCTTAATACTGCCCCAGGGAAGCTATTTTTATCGTGTGATGCTAACGTCATGGCCATTAGGTGGCAATGTGAGCTTCTAATATTCCAATCCAAAACTAAACTATAATTTCACAGAGCCACAGAATATTCTGAATTGAAAGGGATTTAGACAGGGATCATCGACTCCAGCTCTGAAGTGAATGGCCTATAGGGGGATTGAACCCCTCGCCTTGGTATTATTAGCACCATGCTCTAAGCAGTTGAGCTCATCTCAGGGTTTTTTGCAGATTTGGAGGCTGACTGAAGGATATGTCTGCCTTTTTTTTTTTTTTTAGGTATGTCCTTGATGACCAATACACAAGCTCTTCAGGGGCTAAATTTCCTGTGAAATGGTGCCCCCCAGAAGTTTTTAATTACAGCCGATTCAGCAGCAAATCAGATGTCTGGTCATTTGGTAAGAAATGTTTCATCATGGAGAGAAAGCACCAGTTTTATATTTTATCTATAACCGTTAAGCTCCAGTTATTGGGAAGGAATCAGACAACTGAGAAGAAGCTGAGAGAAACCATTTGCTATGGTTTTACAATCAGATAAAGTTCCACAGACACCTTTAGTACTGTTATTTATTAAAAACCATGCTACTAGAATAAGGCATTTTCAGTGATGACAAATGTGAACAGTTTCTAGAATATGGATCTCAAACTTTTTATCTATCAGAAATCCTAAGTCCAGGGCTAAAAATAAACACGTATGTTTAAGACTTTTCTTATTTTCTTTAATTTTTTTCCAGGTGTTTTAATGTGGGAAGTATTTACAGAAGGAAAAATGCCCTTTGAAAAAAGCTCCAACTATGAAGTGGTAACAATGGTTAGCCAAGGACATCGTTTGTATCGGCCCAAACTAGCCTGCAAGCCGGTGTATGAAATGATGATGATGTGCTGGCAGGAGGTATATACTTTTTAATTTTTTTGTCTTTGAATTGAAATAAAGGTAAATCTAGCAACAGTAGTTAATCTTCTCTAAAGCAGCATTCTGAGTGTATCCAACTCTCTGAGCTATTCATGTGTTTATTCATAAGACAAAGATCTCCTCCTGGTTTGCAGATGAACTAGAACTGTGATAAGAAAAAGCACTGAAGACATTTTTATGAAATAAATGAACTGTCAGATTAAGTATGCAAAGGCATTTAGTAACAAAATTAAATAATTGCTTAATCTACGCTGATTGCAATTATATCTGCATTCAAATAGTGGTACCAAAAAAAGTAAGGTCAGAAAGGCCCAGAGGTGGAGAATCTGATTTTGTATTGCCTCAGTTTATTAGTCATTACAGAACCAAGTTAGAATGACTGAAAATATTTTTAAAGGAATACTTCATTACCTGATTATGAATTCTGTAGAAAGTAAAGATTAACTTGCAGTTGAATGTAAATACAAATTCCAACGTTTATAAGGAAAGATGAAAATATACTCTACTATTAATTTTCCTAACCCAGAAAGATACTGAATGTACAATTTTCACAGAAGTCAAAGGGGCAGCTAACTCAAATTTAATACTTTAGAAACTAAATTAGAATGGAACAACTTTTGTAGTATTGAAACAGAAAATTTCTAAGAAGATAGGTGCATTTAATGGGCTGTCTCTATTTTTGAGAGAGTAATCAAGGAAACCAAGAGTGTAGAGAGCTACATAATTCAACAAAGGCAAGTGCAGGATTGTGCACCTGAGGAAAAATAACTCCATGCATGAGTACAGCTTGGGGGCTGAATTGCTGGAAAGCAGCTCTGCAGGGAAGGACCTAGGTGTCCTGGTGGACAACAAGCTGTCCATGAGCCAGCAGTGGCCCTTGCAGCCAAGAAGGCCATTGGGATCGTGGGGTACCTTCAGAAGGGTATTGCCAGCAGGTTAAGGGAGGTGACCCTACTCTCTACTCAGCCCTGGTGAGGCCACATCTGGAGTGCTGTGTCCAGTTCTGGGCTCCTCAGGGCAAGAGAGACGTGGAGCTCCTGGAACAGGTCCAGTGGAGTGTGACAAAGATGATTAAGAGACTGGTGCATCTCTTTTAAAAGGAAAGGCTGAGGGAGCTGGGACTGTTCAGTCTTGAGAAGAGACATCAGAGGGGACCTCATCAATGTCTATAAGTATCTGAAAGGAGGATACCAAGAGGATGGAGCCAGACTCTGGTCAGTGGTGCCAAGCAGAAGGGCAAGAGGCAGTGAACAGAAACTGGTGCACAGGAACTTCCACCTGAATATGAGGAAGAACAACTTTACTGTGTGGGTGACCGTGCACTGGAACAGATTCCCCAGAGAGGTTGCAGAGTCTCCCTCACTGGAGATATTCAAGAGCCATCTGGACACAATCCTGTGCAATGTGATCTAGGATGACCCTGCTTGAGCAGGGAGGTTGGATCATAAGACCCTACTGTGGTCCCTTCCAACCTTATCCATTCTGTGATTTATTTCCAGTTAGTCCTTGCCACAGGGTCAGCTGTGGAAAAAATGCTCTTTTCAAATAATCAAGATGACATACTCTCTGACACTTGTCTTGGAGAAGAAGGTACTGGAATAGAGAGCAATTACTTACCATACCAACTGGTGGAGATCTAAAACTTACAAACCAGTTGGTTTACACAGCAAAAAATACATTAAAAGCAACAGTGCCCTAGAGAGTTGTGGAATGACAGACATGTCTGTGATTCAAAAAAGCATTACATTTTGTTTGTACTTGGTAACCAGCTTGAAATGGAATAATAAATTACCAGCAAAACAATGATAATTTATTGCTAATGCTTTTATTATTATTATCATTAATGCTCTTTGAATGTATTTATAGGACTTATATGAACATCCACAAATTGGTTGAAAATTTGTTCATTTCAGAAAGGGTTATTAACATTAAAATCTAAGCAGTGATTATGTGGGACAGAAAGGATCTTTGCAAATCACCAACAGAGCACAAGTAATGGCAAGATTCTGTCAATCTTTCTTATGAAATATGACTAACTGTAGGTACCTCAGTCCTCATTTAATAAATTTATTAATGGTTTGTAGACTGAAATGAATACTCAGGCTTTAAAATTCATCAGGTGATACAAATCTAAATGTAACTAAATGGAGGAAAAGTGCAAGCTATCCAGGCCCTCAGGAGATGTGAAATTAAGTGTGTCAGGGAGGTCAGCTTCTAGGATTGTGGCAATACACTGAGGTCATCTCTTTGCTGACTGCAGGAGCAGCCAGACAGACAACACCGGCCAACTGGATGATGAAGGAAGAAGAATAAAATACTAAAGCAAACATATTGTGGTCCGAGCTATCAAGCCAGGCCAGATGTTTCTTTATCAGCACATGCGCACGTGACTGCTTTCGGTCACAAAGAACAATCATGCCTCAAGCGGCTTTCCAGCTTGACCTTGTCTTTCTTTTCACACACACTAATCTTAGCTCTGGCTGGCTCAGGACCATAATATTTTTGCTTTAATATTTTATTCTTCTTCTTTCATCATCCAGCTGGCCACTGTTGTCTGTCTAGCTGCTCCTGCAGTCAGCGAAGAGATTACCTCAGTGTATTGCCACAATCCTAGAATCATAGAACCATTTAGCTTGAAAAAGACATTTAAGAGCACCAAGTCCAACCATTAACTCAGAACTGCCAAGTCCACCATTAAACCATGTCCGTAAGTGCTACATCTACATGTCTTTTAAATACTTCCAGGGATGGTGATTCAATATTTAAATAAACAAAACAAACAGGATAATAAAACACATTGAAGAACTGTATGGAAAATAGAGTAAATGAAAGATACTTTTGTGTAAGTCTGTGACATGGTCTAATTTTGGAGGTCTAAAAATAAAATTGATGTAAATGAGGCATCAGAGAATGACACTCAAAGCTCTTAGGAGCATAAAAAACTTGCATAAAGAAAGATTAGAGCTGTTCATTGGGGAAAAGTGGGGATGGGGAAGAAAAATAAAAAGGTGTAGAACTATGCAAAATAATAAACTATATGAAGAGTAGTCCAGCAAGAGCTATTTATGCTCTTTCAAAGCATAAAGAAAAGGTGTTGCTTACTGAGATTAGGTGACAGATCCAAAATCCAGACAAGGAAATATTTTTGCATTTCATATCTAATGAAATGGTAAATTCATTGCCACAGAATGATATCATGACCAATATTTTATCAAAATAAACAAAACTTTATTGATTTCTGATCACAGCTGTGCATGCTTTTTATTTTTAGAAACCAGAGGGACGCCCGACTTTTGAAGAGTTGCTTCGTGCGATCATTGAGATTGCAGAGGGGGAAGATGCTTTCTGAAGAAAGACAACAGCAGCATAAGCACAGAAAAAAAGCCACTTTCCAGAGATGGGGCTACATAATTTCTTTTAAAGAGCTTGATCCTGTAAGCTGCTGGGTGTCGCTAAACAATGTGGGGAACCTGTAACATCTAATCCACTCAAGCACAAAGGAGAGTTTTACATGATGTTGGGAAATGAGCACAGTGTCTTCAGCAATATTAACAATCTCTATATTTTCTCTGAAAAGTCAGCATTGCTTAGCTGGCAAGTTGAACTCCTTATGGAGGGAGACAATGTGACCAAAGGTCAGGAGCCTCACTTGCATTTAGTGGGTTGGTTTCATGTACATACAGTCCACGTTTCTGAGTTTCTCTTTACACAGACAGTAGTATTAGTAGTGATTTGCATGCTTAAAAATGGAAGGTATCCATAAATTACTATTTACTGACATTGAAAAATTTCCAGAGATTCTCCAGAAACATTATTTTTCTCAGTTGATGGGTGTTTTATAGCACGTCAAGAAGATAAAACATGTCTCTTTCATTTGCACATAGTAGGTTGTTGCCAGCACAGTCTTCAGTTTAGTGTAACACTCTAAAAACCTTGCTTCAGAACTGAGCCGTGATATTCCAAAGTCATTCTAAGCTGTTTGGTGAACCAGAGACCTCCCATGGTTAGTCTTGATGTTACTAATGAAAACTAAGTCCAAGACTCAGCACAACTGTCTGTCAGTGTATCATAGTACCAAGTTTTGAATTAATTATAAAATAATTTATATGCTGTATGTAATGTAAATATATAAATTCAATGCATTTATTTATATAAAGTGGGGGGGTTTGTCTTGAAATTTGACCTACCCTCACTTGAATACACAACTCTATATGTGGGATTGTAAATGAAACAAAGTAAATTTTCAAGTGTGTTTAAGGAGAACTCTTCTGTCATCTGTACATAGAGTGACCTAACCCTTCTGTTCATAACAAAAAAATGTCATACTACACATGTGTAAATAAACTGAATGTTAACTAGTGTTTGGGACCAATTAATTTAGCAAATAATTTACTGTCAGTACATCATAAATCAAACTAATTGTTCACATGATTATAGTGTTATGATAATCCATGTATGTGTATATTTCTGTGTGTATACACACTCTATACTAAATACATAAATGGTTGAATGGATATATATTTAAATTAATTTGGCCATAGTGAAATGTTAAGTGCAGAAATGCCTGAACTTTCTTTAGAAGTTACCTGCCATGTCCCCTCTGCTAGAAGCCAGTGTCTCCACAGCCTTGCTGAAGCCTGTTTCAGTTAATCTGACTTTGTGCAAGTGGATATGAGGAGTATTTACACTCCAGTTTTGCTGTAGCTACCTCCTGAGTAGCTCTATTACACTTTCTTTTTCTTTTGCTACTTGTACTCTTGTGCCATGTATAATAGGAAATATATTGCACAAAACCTTTGTAATTTCTTTTGCAAGTAGTCAGAGAGGAGTACGGTGGACTTTATTTCCAATTGAATTATTAAAGGTAACTATAGTTAGCTTAATGCATTCTATCATTTTTGCATTTGAGTATTTCTGTAATCAGTTTTGGAGATGCTTAAATCCCTCCACTGCTTTGCCTAAACCTTTATGTTCAGAAGGAGGAAGCCTTCTCTCTCTTGGAAGAAGTGCTTTCTTTTTCTGACAGTATTCCATTGAAAAGTTACAGACTGTCAGAAAAGGTTTAAATGCCTATCTCTTTTTTCTTAATGACCAAGTCTCAGAAGATTATTCCAACTATGCAATCCAATCTGTCAAATTTTTGAGTCCAAGCCATTCCCCAATCAGTATCAACAGCATGTATTGTTAAGAGGGAAAATCTAGGGGTTTCTACATGTAGTAGAAAAAATGATGTGGAACATTTAATGTAAGCCAAGCTCATCTTTCCTTCCCTAACTACTCCTTTGAACCCCACTTTCACCATGGAGATCCTGCAAAGTATGGTGTTGCCAACACTTTCAACAATACATCATGACGAATTTTACAGTAGTAAGTAATGTTCTCTTAAAACACAAACAAAGCATAGGAAAATCAGAAGATAAATAGTTTCCAATGAACCTTAAGCCTGTTTCTTTAAAGTAATTAAATATTTATCATTACTTTGTATGATAAAACACACCCTAACTATGTGGACTTCTGGCAGGAGTTTTCTCAGTGAGGTGGGTGCTCTGAATCCAACACTTTCACCTGCCTTTTCACAGTACCTGAGTATAATTTCTGCCTACCTGCTTTTGGATTTGATACTTAGGATGTCAGGAACTCTGAGGGACCCAGTGTATCAATGAATGCACTTTTTTAGTTGAATGTAGCCTTAGGTGGCTAATTTTAGAAAGGATCAGAATGCCTTTGGAGGCAGCTGTCTTGCTGACTCCTGATGTATTCAAAGGCAGATTGAAATGTTGTACCATCCTTTCTTCTGGATGAGCTCACTCACCCTTAAGCAACTTCAGTCCTTCCTCCCCTTCTTATTGTTACTGATTTTTTTCAAATGTTGGTGTCAAAAATCCATCTGAACAGAACCAAATGCTGTTATTTACATCTATTATGGCTTTTATCCTTTTTTAAAAAGAAATACTTGAACCTATGATAACAGTTTAATAACTTTTTTTTTTGCAGTAAAATGTTTGCTACTAGAAAGCAGACACTTTTTTCTCCTTCTAGGACCCCCTTCTGGGGCTTTTTTTTTTTTAATAAAAGGTAAGTAGGCATGGTCAAGCAATACTTGTGGTTTACCATGTTTTATATCAGAGCAAAGAGCTCAACTTGGTCTGTTTCACTGGCACAGCTCATGAAGAGAGGTTTCCATTTTCATTTGAATGTAAACAGATAACCAGACATGATTCTTTCTACCTGTAAGTAAACTTGGCTGCATATTTTGATCTTGCAGTTTTGTTTTGTACAACAGCAATGTACTTAGCAATTGAAGTATTTAAATATTACCGTAAAAATACAAACCTGTTTTCTGCACTGCTAAGGTGATCTCTGTTCAGACTTCTTGTCTTGACTTTCAAAATTAATGCACAAATATTAGTCCATTGTACGATGGATTCAACAAAACAACTACTACTTTTACATACTGACAGATGTTTCCACATACAGTTCTTAAGAGCAGGAACTGCATAGACATGTGTAAAAAGTTTGGTAGAACTAAAGCTCTCTTTCCTCCAGTGCAGACTTAACTCAGAAAAAACAAAGCCTCAGCTTGCACACATGAAAAGCTGAAAGGTTGTATTTTAAGTTGTTTTTAGAAGCAAACTGTGGTGTGGCTTTCTATCAGATTATTGATTTTTCTAGTACTGTTGAAAATTGACAGACCAGATCAGGAGGCACACCATGTGTTACAGCAAAGATCTGGGTTTGATGGGTGAAGCTGAGTTTGTAGTGTTGAACACAATTAATGTGCTGCTTCACTGCAAGAGCAAGAGTTTCTTGCAAAACATGCTAGAAGAGTGCAAGCCTTAGACATGGACTACAGCACTTTCAACGTTAGTAGTGCTTTGACAAACAGTGATTCAGAAAAAGAAAAGTCAAGAAACCTGTGAAATAATAAAATGATAAAATCCAAATTATAAAAATTGATCTCTAAACTTGTTGCTTTTACCTTTGATGCTACTTCTCCGAAGCTGCCAATTAGAGTGAGTTACTACTGAAGATTGTATGTATGTAAGTATGTATATAAGTGTGGGAATTGGCCACATATACAGACAATGTTATCAGCCCAAAGCATACTGTGGGTGTTGTGGGACTGTATTAGGCCAGGATGTGTTTTCACTATGCCTTCTCTCTTCTTATGGGACTAGCTTTCAGTTTCAATTAGAAGAAACAAACAAGCTTTCAAATGCATATTCCTTTTTGCAAATAACTGAATGCTTCATAAACATTGATTAAACTTCATGTCACTGGCTGAAGTAAACAAACCCAAGAATTTTTTCACCCACAGGGTTCACTGTTTATGAAACACAGTTTTAAACAGCTGAGGGACAGTTTGATGTACACTGGAAAATTATGCAGCAAATAAACTGCATTGCCCATATCTTTTAAGCCTGGTTTCTTTGAAGAAAATTGTCCCTGTCAGCTGGCTGTGGTATTTTAAATTTCTGCATTTTGCAGAGCTGTCAGTGGGAACTTGATAAAAAAACTGATGGTGTCTTCTGATTACTGTAGGCCCACCAGTTTCCCACATGATAGGTTCATCACAGGATGCAACAGTCTAAGGGAAACTGCGCCATGGCTTTAAAGACAGTCCTAAACAAAACACTTATGAGACGGGTCTCTTCCAACTAAGAACTGGAATTGGTCTTATCAGTCTGATATCTGACATTTTCACTTCTTTTATTTGTGCAAGATTTGCTAAGTTACATACTTAAATAGAGAAAATAATTACATTTTCATCATGTAGTAAGGTTGCTTAATGTTTTGAATGCTAGGATGCATACTCTCACCACACTTGGTTTTTCAGTTGGTAACAGGCACTGGCAAAAAGTTTCACAAGGCATCCGAAGAGACACTCTATTTATTCCAGGCTGGATTAGGTCATAGGGATCGACAACACAAAAATGCCAGAAGGCAAAACCAAATAAAGTGGAAGAGACTAATGGGACCACACAAAGAAATATGTGAAATACAAAGCAGCAAAATTCTGAAACCTTGGGAAGCCTATTTCAAGTAACTTTCTGAGGCCTCTGCAAACTACGATCTCTGTGGCAGAGAAAAATTGGACACACTGGAGTGGGATATAAAGTTTATTTTCTGTTAGTACAACTGAATATGAGAGGAATCTTGTCTCTCCAGCCTTGACTCTCATGCTTCTTAAGAGACTGTACATTGCATACAAGAGCTTGAGCCTGTCCTGCTGATGCTGTTGACCTCCCACCCGCCCATGGCAATGCATGATGGTGAGACAGTTCAGGGAGCTGAGCCAGCAGGAAGGGATTACCTGCTGGTTTAGCATCCTGTCTTGCTCATGTTGAAATGAGATGAACAACAGTGTAGAGGGAAAGAGTATGGGACCATAACTGCTACAACTTGGCTCAAACTGCTGTGTGAACACAGATTGTGGAAAGTAGGTCTCAGTCTGAGTAGCAGAAGTCCAGAGAGATGTGAACCATTTATTTTCCTCATTCAGATCTTCTTAATGCCTTCTGACCTATTTAATATCATGTCCTTCCTGCTGCACATACAAGATATATTGGATTGGTTTCTCTTTAAATGTTTGATGTCTGTGATGATGTATCCAGTGTATTTTTCTCAGGATTATAAGATACTTGATATGTAAGAGCAAAGCATATATCTGTCAGCACTTTAAACCTGGGCTAATGCACTTATTATATTAATGTCAGCAACAGAAAATCAGTTTTATTTCAAAGAACTGAATGAAGTATGTCTCCTGCAATAAACCGTGCAATAAAGAAAAGCTTGTCATACAAGTGTTATTTTGTATTTGGCTTGAATGATCTAAAAACTATGTCAGTGCTGAAGCAGACAGTTCTCCACTTTCTGTCCCTGATGAGATTCTTATCCCCCTCATTGCACTGGATGGAGCTTGTGCAGGGTGGTGTGATCAGTCAGATCAGTACTAATCTGGCTGACAAGGTCTCTTTTTTATTTTATTTTTGCTGATTTAGTAAGATGATTTAACTCATACATGTGGCCTCATAATTGCTAAGACATTGTAAGGAAGACAGTGGGTAGTAGAAAAACTCTGCTGTCTTTGGTGGCTCCAAATTCAGCCTTAATATTTGCTAGATATCTCACAGGAAGACAGAGCTAATAGTGGGGCTAAGCACATAGGGTATTCTTAATTCTGTACATTCTGTGAACAAACAAACAGAAACACGGAAAATATGGAAAATGTTCTTGTTCACAGATCACACCATCCAGTCTGTTTTCTGCTGCTGCTGCTGCACAGTGCAAGAAAGGTATGTGAAATGCTTAATCTGTTCAGTGATTATGATGATCAGAATATCTATACATAAAGGACTTCTTAAAATCCCTCTATTTTCAGTGGGAATTAAATATGCAGAAGTTTAAAGACACTGTACTCTGCATATCCTTAATGAAGGAAGGCATGTATATCCTTGGATATTTTTATGTGAATATTTATAGATATGCATTCACATAAATGCTTCATGTTTGTCAAAAGCAGAGCAAAGAGAACAAAAGTGAACCTGGATCCTGACACTGGCCTGGAGACCCATTACTCAGCCTCACAACCAGACGTTTCCTATGCATGTACTTGGAAGTGCAGGGTAAGTAATGTTTTGGGAGGTGAAAAGGGAGAATTGAGCTGATTTGACATACACTGGCTCAGTACCAGGGCAAGCAGGGGAGGAACTAACTCTTGAGCACATAAGGTACTTTGTTGCATAAAAATTACAGAGTAAAAGTAACTGAAGATTCATACTGATGTAAATACAGGGTCATGGTGAGGTTTCCCAAGCTTGCTGTCATGAAGAAGGTGGTTCCTTCTCCTACTTTTTGTTTTGGGTCACAGAGATGGCAAGGGTGGGACTGCCTTGATGGGCAGATGCAAGCTTGCCTTGCTCAGCTGGTATGTGAAATGTTCACCTCAGTTTTACTAGATCTTAGTTCAATTAATCTGAGTCTTCAAATCATAACTAAGTGCTAAGCTAGAACCTCCCCTGATGCAAAAGAAAACTTGCTAAGTTTCTGATAACTTGCTAAGAAAGTCTGCAGTGTCCTCTGTGTTGATTCTCCAGACAAATGACTGAATTTCCAGACATTGTAACTTTAATGCTGCTCTGCTTTAACACCAGCTGAGGAGTTGTCCCAGCATTCCTACTGTGTAGAAGTCACCCCCATTAGGTAGATAGCTTATTTATTATTCACTGTACTTTCCATTATAATTTTCTTTTCTGCACCAACAAGAGGAAGTAACAACCATGATGAGTTCCTCTTATTTACTGAGAGAGTATAATAGCAGGGGAATTAAGCAAACAGTAGTAGAGAGAAAAGACTAGTTATGAAAGATACTTTTATTTTTCACTAGCACAAGAGGCAATTGCAGTTTAAGAACAAGCCGTTACCGCCTCTACCTGCCGAGGCCTTGGAAGACTACACCAAGAAACCCAGAGTTATTGCACTCTATGATGTTTTTGCTAGAGGGCCTTCAGATTACCTCTAAAGAAGTCAGAAGAATACATTATCCTTGAACAGAATGATCCCCACTGGTGGAAGGCGAGAGACCAACATGGGTAAGAGAGTGGGCATCTATTTCAATCTCCCTACACAGAAAGAAAAAAGCCTAAAACAACCTCTGCAAATGCAGGCACATAGAACAAGATGTGAGACAATTTAGGGACATGTTTGAAAGTGTTCAGCTATGTATGAGGCACACAGGTTGACCGGGCAGGCTTTCAGCAGTGTTTGGCATCCCAGAAATGGACAGGGAATCTAGAATCTGCTGGGAATTCAGAGTTAAGCCCTAGACTCAGTAATTTCACAAGCAACATAAGGGTGTTTGAGGACCATGTGAATAACTGGGTTCTGAGCCATGTGCAAATCCAGCTTTCTATACTTCGTGTTTTACAATGGAGTGTATGTGTGTAAACACTTTGCAAAACTATAGCAATCATGAAGACGTGCCTGAAATAAAACCTCTGGTCCAAAATACCTCGGTATTTTAGAGAGCTAGATAACTTCAATTAGGATCCTTTTCACACTTATATTTGTTTCATGTTA